TTGCATAGCTTGGGTTTGAGGATGTCCTTTGGTCACTGCACTGTTTCACAGGTATTTTTCCCTGTGAAGTTGCTCCTGAAGTAATCTGGAAGGTTGTCTCCTGTGAAACCAGCCTTTTACATCTAAGACTTCAGGGAGTATATTAAGTGGTGTTTACTGTGATTTGAAGCAAAAGCAGTTCGCACCCTGCGAGTGTGAAGTGCATGGCAGTTATTTACAGCCTTATGACATACTGGTTTGCAGTGAAGAGATGCTGCTGGCTAACAGCCTAAAAATCAGTCTGAAATCCACACAAGCCCTGAGGTCGGTATCTAGGTGAGACTAATGCTCTTGTTTCCTAATTCTGCAAGGGAGTGGCAGGAACTAACTCCTCCATACCCATATTACGAGTGGAAATGCTTGATTAGGTAGCTAGTCACCATTGTGTTACCTGTCTTACTGCCTTGGCAATGATGTCAGAGCCCTAAAGTGTATTTTTGCCCTCATCTGTGTCTCTGACAGTCTGTATCTACACCAGCTTTTCCCACTGAGCTCAGTCAAGGCCATTCCTAAAGTCTGTGGGAGAAAATTCAGTTCCCTGGAACCACCATGGTAAGGGAAAGGCTGAGGGGGACTGGCCTCAGCCAGTTCTGTCTTCAGAAGCTGAGCCTGGAGCCTCAGGGACCAGTCTAGTGCCAGTGAACAGCCTCTGCCCACACTTGACTGCACTTTGCCTCTGGTTTCAAAACCTGCTTTTACTGCAGGACGCCTTACCTTCTTTCCAGTTTTCTGTGGCTTTTTTTCTTTCAACTTTTCTTTCTCCTCTTTTTCATTTTTCCCCTTTTGGTCCTGTTTCTCCATCTCCTTTTTGGCAGCCAGTTCTTCAACAACCTGAAAGAGACAGGAAGGAATGTGAAGAGCTGGTTGAATGTTTACATATGCAAGGTGTGTTAGACATATGCTGCAGGAATAGGAACCATTGTGCATTTTTCCTCCCTTCCTTTGGGCTTTCCAATATTGGGGAAATACCACATCCAACAGTTTGCCCTCTATGAATTCCAGAACGGCTGAACATTACAGAGAAGCTCTTTTATGTTGAGGACACTGCACCCACAAACTCCAGCATAGGTGCTGCCTATCTCAATATATCACCAGGGTGATATATTCATGATTTCTCTGTCCCAAACTGTGAGGGTTTTATGGCATAAGACCAATGCCTGAAAACACCCAGAAGCAAAATATTCTAGTGACATACAACTTGAAGTTCCCTCTGGACCTGGACTCAGATTATGAATTTGTCCTGGTGTTTCTAAGGCAGATGGATTTTTATAGAGCTGGATATTGAGCCTGCCCCGAGGCATGTCTCATTTCAATATGTGGCTAAAGACTGAAATTGTCCTAGTGGGTGAGAGATTGGATAGAGACGCTGTGACAAACTCTGACAGATATACATGGCTAGACCAGCATCTTTATCCCTGCAAGCTAGTAGCAGCTGATAACTGGGTACAGCTCCATCAATTTCCATAACTTTAGTTCCTGGCCATTTATACTTCATTATCTGACAAAGGCAGAGGGTGTAATTTTCTGTTTCTAACATTCTCCTGTTTCCAGGCACCGTTCATTGTGTTCTCTTGTCCCTGAGAGGAATTTTAAGACCATTTAGTGATGAGTATAAATCAGAAAATCTGTGGCCATTGAAGTTTATTAATGGACCATTAATATTGGGAGTACCATGAAAGAGTAGGAAATAAAACACTTCCAGTTGCTAGATGTGTTTGCTGTAACAGCAGAAATATTTGTTTCCTAAAGAATGCCTTTAATGCATCAGGACTGGACACTGGGAGGGAACAATGACAAGGGCTATGCTTTGCAGCTAGGGCAATTTAATTAGTGGATCTCCCCAAGCATCTCAGTATCCTACATTTAATTAAATATGGTAATTTAAACTCCGAGTACCATTCAGTCACATCGTGCAGTGATAAGCAGCAAAGCATTTCATTCTCTGGGATAGATTAACAGTTGACTGGAGTTCAAAATAGGCTTTTGGTGTCCCAGCAGGCCTGTTGTATTCAAACCCAACAGAGCTACTCAAAGTGTCTCCTTACTGTAGTGTCAGTACTCAGCCAGAAATCCAACCCCATCACCTCCAGCTCTGCTCTGCCTGCCCACAAAGGGTAACCACAACCCCTCCCAGCAGCTCAAGACTGGGTTTATCCAGCAGTAAACCTGTAAACACACACATCACTGACAAAAGACTTGCATTTTCAGCAGTGTCTTTGCATTCTACTGGTGATATTTTAAGTACATCCAGACTCTGATGGGAATGATTTGCCGTCACATTTTCATACCGATGAAAAGGGGTTAGAGAGTTTCTGTTCTTGTGAACCTGCTATTATGAGACTGAATAGCTGAACTGGCCTTATCCTTCCCTCTTGCCTTCCTCTATTTTGTACACCTTCAGTGCAGCTTCTCCAGCTCTGCTTTCCCCTCTGCTCTTAGTAGCTCTGACTGCAGAGGGCTGGGAGCTGGGGTGGAGCTTGCTGTGTATAGAACCTTGAATGGCTTCTACTCTTTTATTCAGAGCCACTTCCCCTCCAGGTCCAAGAAGACACCTGAAGAATCTGACAAAAGAGGAGGAAAGAAAGGGAAGGGCAAGCAAAGGCTGGTTTGAGATACTAACCATTCACCCACATGATGATACAGGATTGTTTTTCTTCCCCTGAAAAAAGGAAATAGAAGAAGATGTCCTCCTAAATTGTTTCAGAATGTCCTTTTCTTTGCTACTTTGCCTGTCTAAACTAATACCCCACAAAAGTTGAATTGACTTTTTTATTAATGTATCCGTTCAAGAACATTTCCAAACTGGTTTGAGATACTAACCATTCACCCACATGATGATACAGGATTGTTTTTCTTCCCCTGAAAAAAGGAAATAGAAGAAGATGTCCTCCTAAATTGTTTCAGAATGTCCTTTTCTTTGCTACTTTGCCTGTCTAAACTAATACCCCACAAAAGTTGAATTGACTTTTTTATTAATGTATCCGTTCAAGAACATTTCCAAACTCTCACAGTGCACCTTTTTAGGTAGAGGGGCACTAAAAGTGCAGCCTAGGACTGAAAATGTCTGATGTTGGTTTATATGAGCCAAATACAAGAAAACCTTCCGCTGCCAGCAGAACTCAATTATGTTCCACCATCCTCAGCCATGGAAAGCTTGGTGCTGGCTCAGGTAAACTGACACTTGGGATAAATGTTCTTCAAGAACAAGCCTCATTCCTTGAAAGAAGAAGACTTACTGCCTTTTAGTGTTGTGGGCATAAATGAAAAGCATGGACAGAGTGAGTTTGGGAATGCTGGATTTCCAGCTGGGGCAGGTGGAAGCCAACATCAGAGCCTGGCTCTAAAACCAGTTTGAACAGAAACAGGCACTAGCCATATAGCCTAGTGTTCCCCAGAGAGAAAAGTTTCTCTCTTGAAATGTTAACTCTACAGAAAGAAGCTCTTTAGGAAGCTAAGAAATGTTTCTCCTTTAAGCAGAGAAGGGATGGTTTAAGAAGGGAGGAGATCCCATCCCAGTGTCCCAGAGTAGTGTGCCAAGCACTGGGCTGTCCATTTGCATAACCTGTCCATAACACACAGTCTGCTGTGAATGTTTCCCCCTCCCTGCCTCCCTAGCTTGAGCACACTTCATTACAACTCTTCCGTAGCTCCATTATTCCCATGGGCGATATGATTTTTCTATCAGGTGGAAGAGATCTTGTTTTCAACATGGTAGGCCTGGCACTCTGTCCCACCAAGCCAGCTGTGGGCCAGGGGTCTGGATTTGTTCCCTCTTACAGGTAAATCCATGTGAGTAGCTTTTCATAGAATCATTTAACTTTAAAGAAAAATTTAAGGTCATAGAGTCAAATGTTTCTGAGCATTGTGTCCTTTCAGGTGTGCACCTGAACGGAGAGCTCAAGCTGGAAACACAACACCACTGCTCTGTTTGTTGCAGAATGAATTTAGACTGTTGGGTTGGATTTCATGGCTTTTGGGACCTTGCAAAACCTTACAGTTGGCTTTGATTCTGTCATCCATTTCAGTCCATGGCTGATGCAAGCTCTAGGATTTTTTCCACCTGGCAGAAGTTGCCCAAACGTAGTTTAACTCACTGGTTAAACTCCCTCACTCTTCTGCTCATTTCCTGGCAAACACTGCAGAAAGTTGGTATCTGTGAAAGGTGTTTATGAAAATGTCATTAGCTTTGCTTGGTGTAGCGTGCTGGTTTTTAGGGAAGGTGGATTGCTGCCTGGAGGTGAATACCTCTGCCTGTTGTGTAGCTTAACAGGAGCTAAGTACAGTTTCTCTCCTTCTGCATGGTTAACTTGAAATAACCAGAATATTTTAAGGCTTTTTGATGCTTGGCTTCAGCTGATGGCACTGTATGTTTTGGACTTGTGAAATCCAGCCTGATAATTCCGACAAGGAGCATCCAGAATAGTGTGGAACAGAGGAAATAAAGGTGAGCATAGCTGTAGGCATCTACTTCTAGTACTGAGAAATATGCTTGGTGTATTTGCTGTCAGGACAAAAACATATTTGCAATGTGCTGGATACAAAAAGTACAATTCTATGGAGATGTGAGTCCTCTGACACTTTTTTCCTGGTAGGTTATTTAATATTGGAAATGAAAGGGAGTTGGGAGAGGGGGAAGTGGCTGCTAAATGGCAACTCTTGGCTTATTTTCATGGTTATGAGACTTAATGAACTACAGGGAAAGAACATAATTTTGTTGGCATCAAGATAAGGGCAAAGCTAAAAATTGTCACATCTGATGATTATCTGCAGAGCAAAACATAGAAAATCATTAGGGATAGAAACCTTGAACAGATGCAAGGAGATTACATTGGTTTCCTGGAATCTTAAATTTCTCTTGAAGAGACAGTAAAAAAACATATTTTAAGTCAAGAAGCTGCACTTATGTTTTTGGCTGAAGCACCAAGTACTTCGCACTGGGGGCTCTTTGGCATGTCTTTTGGAAAGCTCTCTCTAAAATGTTGTGGCAGCCGTCTGTGCAGGAGGCCACTGCGTCCCAAAGTCAGGTAAGGTCAGAGTTGTCAAAGGAGCAAGAAATATAGAATATATAATAATGCAGCAATGGTTCATGAAATGATTAATTTGTATTTTATTTTCCCCAAACTGTCTTTTACCTAAGTCTTATAAAATGCTCATTTTTTTTAAAACACAGTTTTGTCTTAATTTTTTTTCATGGAGTTTAACTTGGAAGTAACCAACCCCTTCACAGAAGGTAATACATACAAGAGGTGAACTTGTCTCCTCTGAAGTCAAGGACGAAACTACCATTAACTCAATGGGGCCAGGATTTCCTTTCTTATGTTGCCCAGTGGACCAGTGTGGAACAAACCCAGTGGCCTGGGGGATGTTTTAATACGCAGCTGACTCAGTTGAACAAAAAATGTTTTACTTGTCTGACATTCAGGTAAAATCATGATCGCAGTGAACTTTCTTTTGCCAATTGCACTCTGGAGATCTGTTAAGGTGATGCAACACATATTCTGCCAGATAAAAAGGGAAGAAAAATAGGCCCAAAAATAATTGAAAACCAGGTGATTGCTAGTGAAAATTTGTTAGG